AACTGAAAGCAATAGCTGTCCCAATTATTTTGGCCACTCTCTGGTCTTTTCTCTTCCCTCTAGATCCTAGTTGTTAAAAGAGGGAACAATTTAAACAAATATATAACAAATAATTTTGAACAATATAATCTTTTAAGTTTAAGGCTAGAAATATTATCAATATGATCATTTCCAATCCAGAGATACATGTTCCAATGCAGTTGCTATTTTCCATAAATGGTTTTGGTAAGAAGAATATTGTAATGTGGATATAGTTCCACTATTCCTCCTCCATGCCATGATATAGTGTTATTAACATGAGCAGTTATAAATCCTTCCTTACTCTAACTTAAATTTTTTTAAATTAAATTTATTACTAATTTCAGTAAAAATTTACAAAGACTTTGGATTTCCATTCATTCATTCATTGTTGCACATTTTCCCCCCTCCTAACCTTCCCCCCCAGAAGACTACCCTCCTGGAAAAGTAAAAGAAAAATTCTTTCATTGTTTTATAGACCCTCCCCCAGGTCCACTCCACTATGCAGCCTTCACTCTGGACTCCTGTCATGACAAAAATACCTAATCACATATCCCTTTTAAACAGTTTTGTCCCTCATCTGTTTCAATGCAGTGTACATTATTGAACCCATCTTTCCCAATCTCTCCCTGTTTTACAACAGTGGCACCATGCAGTATTTGTTCTTTTGTGACTGAGATACTTTACTCAGCATAATGTCCTTCAGAGTCACCCATTTTGAATAATATTGCATGATTGCCTGAGTTTCTTGTTTTTCAATGCAGCATAGTATTCCATTGTGTGAATATACCACAGCTTCTCTATCCATTCATTTATTGATGGACACTTAGGTAGTTTCCACCTCCTTGCTATTGTGAACAAAGCTGCTATAAGCATGGGTGTGTAAAAAGTTTATTTTTTAAATAAAAGGTGTTCCAGCAGAATGTGGAAATTGTCCATCAATATCATTAAAGTCACATGCACATAAAATCTTGCTGAGGAGTATTAAAAACCTGCCAACACAGTACATCAATAGAGAACTTCCAGAAATTCAGACAGGATTTAGAAGAGGCCATTACATCAAGGATATCACTGCTGATGTCAGATGGATTTTGGCTGGAAGCAGAGAATACCAGAAAGATGTTTCTCTCTCTTTTATTGACTATGCAAAGGCATTTATTTGACAAATGCATATTATTATCCACTGTGTGGATCATAACAAATTATGACTAACATTGAGGAAAATAGCAGTCCCAGATAACTGTGCTCATGTGAGACCTCTGTCTAGACCAAGAAACCATGGTCCAGACAGAACAAGGAAACATTGTATGGTTTAAAATCAGAAAAGGTGTGCATAAGGGTTGTATCCTTTCTCCATATCTTTTCTATCTTTATGATGAACAGATCATTGCGGTAGCTGCACTATAGGAGAACAGTGTGACATCACCATTGCATTCACCAACAGCTTGCATTGAGCAGATAACATAATCTTACCAGCTGAAAATGAAGGGGACTTGAAGCACTCACTGTTGAAGTTCAAAGACAGTAATATCTATTAGTCTATATTGTGTCTTAACATCACGAAAACAAAAATCTTCACTATGGAGTCAGAAATCTTCACTACAGAGCCAATAAACAACCTCATGATAGAGAGAAAAAAGATTGAAGTTGTCAACAGTTTTGTCTTGGTTGGGTCCACCATGAACATCCAGAATAACAGCAATCAAAAACTCAAAAGTTGGGGAGGAGGGGGTGGGTAGGGAGAAAAGTGCAACAGTGAATGATTGGAAACCCTAAGTCTCTGTAAACTTTCATTAAAGTCAATAAAAAACAAACAAAAAAAACCCCACAAAACCCCTCAGAACTTGTGATTTTCCATTGGGAAAATCTGCTGTCAAGGACCTCTCCAAAAGTTCTAATGAGCTTCTTTTTAAAAAAAAAAAAAGAGAGCAAGCACCTCATGAGGATGGCCATATCACCTGAACCAACTTCACAAAGGGTAACTGTCCTGTCAACAATATTAACAACACAAAACCAATTCCCATGAGGTCAGACATTTCCCTAGTGCTCCCACACCTCTTTCTACTCATCCTAACACCAATCTTGCGGGGTCCAAAATCAATGTTCTTTGTGCTCATAAGACCTCATAGATTCAGATTAATAGCAGAATACAATCCCAGCTTCTAAAATATGCTCGTAAGCACCTTAGTCTTGAGCCTCAAAGCTTTAACCTTGCATTACAAAATTCTCAGTCCTGCCAATTATTGCTCTCCCACCGTCTTCTTCTTCTTTTTTTTTTTATTATTTTATTATTTTTTGTGTGAGTGTACCGTCAAATCAGATCTGACTGGTACAGGAGGAGATTGTCCCTCCTTCCCCGGCAGAGCATCTGGTGGATTCGAACCGTGCGCCTTTGGGATTGTAGTTGCAGCTCCTTGCCACTAGGCCACCAGAGCGCCCCTTCTCCCACCGTCTTCTGTCCCTACACACACAGACACACACACACACACACACACACATGCACGCACGCCCCTAGTCCTCCAACAGATGTGAACAAAGGCTCTTAGCTCTGTTTCTGTGGCTGATAGCCGTTCCAAGGTCAGCTCTGTATAATGTCGAGTCTCTGGTCCTCTGCCTTGGCCACTGTGCTGCTGTTGTATGCCTGCTTCCTTTTTGCTGGTATTGAAACTCTTGAATCTGCCTTCTAAGTCTGTTCAGTTGGCTAGTGGAAAGACTAGGCAATCTCTTTGTGGAAAGGCTCATACACCCTATTACAATATTCCCACCTATCAACTTGACAAAGTTAAATTTAATAGGTAGGAATGCTATTTGAACCAAAAAACCCTTAACACCACAACCTGATCTAAGCTTTGATCTTTTCAGTTACTTCTTATGCATGTGAATGTTGGAGAATGAATTAAGATAACATAAGAATTGATTCTTTTGAGTTGTGGTGTTGGAGAAAAGTACTGAACATCCTATGGACTGCCAAAAGAACAGACAAGTCAGTCCTAGAGGAAGTCTGTACAGGTTGCTCCTTGGAGTCTCACAGACTTTGGGCATGTTGTCAGGAGAGGCCATTCCTTGGAAAAGGACATGAGCTAGCAGATGTGGAGGGTCAGAGAAAGATAAGATGACTCTCAACAAGGTGTTTTGACCCAGTGACTATAACAATGGACTCAAGCATATGAGAAATCATAAAGATGGCACAGGATAGAGTAAGGTTCAGATTTGTTGTTCATAGGTCACTTTGAGTCACAGACACCTAACAACCCAATATCTATCCATTTGTCTTTCTATAGATCTGGCATTTCCTTATTACAAAGTATTTTCTATTTTTGATAGCTATTGCAAATGGCATTATTTTCATTTATCATAATTCTCTTTGCTATTTTGAATGCTGATCTTCTATTATCCACTTTGTTGAGTCTTTGCACTAGCTCCTATAATTTTCTTACTTCGTTTATATGTATAGCATCATATTATCTACAAATAGAGATTGTTTTGCTCTTTTCTTACCAATTTGTTTTTAGGTGCCATCAAGTCAACTAAGACCCATAGCCGCCCCATGAACACAGATCTGAACCTTGCCCTGTCCTGAGCCATCCTCATCATCTCTAATATGCTTGAGCCCACTGTTGTGGTCACTATGTCAATCCAATTTTTTGACGGTCTTTCTCTGTTTTCTCCACCATTCCCAGCGTCATGTTTTTTCCCAAGGACTGACCCCTCCTGACGACATGTCCAAAGTTTTATAAGACAAAATTTGACCATCTTTACCTCTTAGGAGCACCCTGGTTGCACCTCCTCCAGAACAAACATGTCTCTTCTCCTGGCCATCCATGGGATGTTTCAGTACTCTTCTCCAGTACCATGGCTTACATGTGTCAGCTCTTCTGTCATCCTGAATCACTGTCCAGCTTGAGCCATTTGAGCTAGTTAGCTGGATGAGTTTCCTGGGCTCCTTAGGCACCTGCTGCATTAGTTGGTGATCGGCTGGTCTAGGACGGCTTCCATTGGCCCATCTTGTTTCTATAAATCAGGTCTTATCTTTTTTTCAGCAGGCTATGGCAGGTTTCACATGGCGGGTGGGCAAACTTCTAAGAGGTATGGAAGAACTGAAGACTTAATGAAGCCTAGATTGAGAATTGACAGAACTTCACTGCCATCAGAGTATATTGCCCAGACAAGTCTCAGGACTGCTTAAATTTAACCCACAGCAGTAGAGTCAATTCAAAAGCATAGCAACTTTCCATTGGGATTCTGACCCTGTAAATCTTTATAAGAGGACACTGCTTACCTTCATCTCTCAGAACACTTGGTAGATTCAAACCACTAATGTGACAGCATCCTGACATGTTATACTCTACACTCCGATGGCTTAGCTTTAAGAGTCTGGAACTAAACCTTCTCCCTTGATCTGAGGAGCTGCGAGGTTATATTGCAGAGGATAGATACAGAGAGGGGACAAAGTGTTGTCTTCTTCTAAATAATCTGTCACACAAAGCTTACAGTTTGTTGAAATGACATTGTAGATCCATAGAAATAACAGGCTTTTTAAAAGGTGGATTTCTTAATACCTTACAGGATAGTAAGAAACCACAGGAATAAATTTCCACCTTCTGAAGGGAGGGAAACGGCTGGAGAACGTGAACGTAAAGGGCTGGCGAACATAAAAGGCTGAAGCTCCCTCAAGCCTCTGTTTACACTAAGGCTGAAAGGGGTCCACTTGGTTCTGTTCTTGTTCTTAGTTCTGTTCTTGTGCAAAATCATTGGTTTTCAAGATGGGAAAGTGAATTTATAAGTTATAAAGTAAAATGGTTTATTTGAAATACAGTAAATGCATCCAAAATGTTTTTATGGAATTTGTATTTAATATTTTGTTTAATGATATTAAATATAAATTCATATGTTTGGTGTTTGGGGTTTTTTTTTAAATGAAAAAGTAACAATCAGAAGTACAGTATTTGGCACTTGGGTTTAAACTTCTTTTTTATTTTTAGGAGCTATGCCAGTGCCAGCCTGGAGAAGGCAACTGCTCGTGCTGTAAGGAGTGCATGCTTTGTCTGGGCGCACTTTGGGACGAGTGCTGTGACTGTGTTGGTGAGTTACCTATCTGCAGACATTTTCTTACTGATTATTGGAGAATCTTTGACTTAAAGAACTGAAGAAGAGTTTATAGATTAAAAAACTTTCCCACCATGCATTTGTTATTTTGTTGTATTGTTTCATGTTAGAATCTGTGCCATTGGTATTTTAAATACTAGCCAGATTAGCCATGGTGGATACATTTCAGCAGAGCTTCCTGATGAAGACAGGGTAGGAAGGAGGTAATCTACTTCTTAAATATTTGGCCACTGGTAACCTTTTGAATACCAGTGGAATATCATCTTATTTAATGCCAAATGAGCTGCTAGCTTGGAGGGATGATGAGATTTTATCGGGCTAAATTTGAGCTTCTTTTTGGAAGTATCACCCATTGGGGCAATTGGCAGCATCATGATAGATGGGAGAGGAAATTGATACTTTTAATAATTTCACCTTGCTCGATTCCACAATCAACACATGGCACGAGCAGTCAGGAAATCAGAAGATGATTTGCATTGAGAAAATCTGCTATCAGGGACCTCTTCAGAGTGTGAAAGATCAGTGATGTCAATTTGGAGACTAAGGTATGCCTGATCTAGGCCATGATCTTTGCAATTACTTGCTTTGTATCAGAAAGCTGGACAGTGAGTGACTAAGGGTGACAGAAGGAGAATCGATGCCTTTGAGATGTGGTGCTGGAGAAGAGCGTTAAACATCCCATCAACTGCAAAGAGAACAAACACATCTGTCCTGAAGGGGATGAAACCAAGTTGCTCCTTAAAGGCGAGGATTTTGAAGTTCCGTCTCTCATATTTTGGGCATATTGCTTCTTGGAGAAGGACGTTGTGCTTGGAAGGGTGGAGCAACAGTGTAAAAGGGGAATACCCCGATGGGATGAATTAACGCAGTAACCAAGATAATGTGGTTAGGTGTGTCAGAGACAGTGACACTGGCTCAGCATAGGGCAGGGTTCAGAGCTGTTGTACATAGGGTTGCTATCAGTCCCAGGCGTCTCAACGGCCTATAACAAGAACAGGTGCCTGGAGAGAGACATCATGCTTGATAAAGCAGAGCATCAGCTGAAAAAGGCAGCTCCTGAGTAGGTAGGTAGATTGACACAGTGAAGCCAAGCCACTGTTGTGAATATGGCACAGATTTAGGCAGTGTCCTCCTATACGCAGGGCAACTATGGAGTCAGAACTGACCAGCGGGACCTAACACAATAACAAATAGACTAGGATGTGTGTAAGGAAATGTGAGCATATCAGACTTCATAGTACTGCATTTGTTGTTTTAAGGAGTATTTGTGAAACCCGTTACACCATCAGGGTTCCCTCATATAGTCTTGTAGGACTACTATTACAGAATCCTTCAGTATGGCAACTTTTTTTCTTTTTTTCATTTCTGTGAGCTTGAGAAATGCTCAGTATCTCATTTGATTTCTAACTTTAGATCTTTGCACATTTCATTATAGTATTTTGGTTCTTTGACCTGCTTTTTGAAGTCAGCTGTTCAACTTTTTCAGTTCCTTTTTCTTTCCCCTTTTTTAAAAAAATTTTTTTTATTATTAATTTCAATGAAAATTTACAGAGACTTTGGATTTCCATTCATTCATTGTTGCACTTCACTTCTCTCTTGGAAAAGTAAAAGAAAAATTCTTTCATTATTTTACAATCCCTCCCCCCAGATCCACTCCACTATGACAAAAATACCTAACAGCATATCGCTTTTAAACAGTTTTCTCCCTCATCTGTTTCAGCGCAGTATACACTATTCAAGCTATCTTTCTCAGTCTCCCCCCCAAACCCCGAGATCAGTCCTGTTTTACAACAGTGGCACCATGCAGTATTTGTCTTTTTTTTTTCACATTTTTATTTCTGCTCTTTTATTTTTTTTTTAAGTTCTTAAATTAGTATTTGTCCTTTTGTGACTGAGATACTTCACTCAGAATAATGTCCTCCAGGGTCATCCATTTTGAATAATATCACTTGAGTTCTATATCCATTCGTTTGTTGATGGGCACTTAGGTTGTTTCCAACTCCTTGCTATTTGTGAACAAAGCCGCGATAAACATGGGTGTGCATGTATCTGCTTGGGTGGCAGTTATGGTCTCTTTGGGGTATATTCCCAGTCATGGAAATCGCTGGGTCAAATGGTATCTCTGTTTGCAACTTTTTGAGAAAGCGCCATACTGCCTTTCACAGTGGTTGTACCATTTTACACTCCCACCAACAGTGAATGAGTGTTCCAGTTTCTCCACAACCTCACCAGCATTTGCTGCTTCCTGTTCTGTTAAATTTTGCTATTTTTACTGGGGTGAGATGATATCTCATAGTTGTTTTGATCTGCATCTCTCTTAGAGATAGGGATTTTTGAACTTTTCTTAATGTGCTTTTTGGCCATCTGAATGTCTTCTTTGGTGAAGTGTCTGTTCCTATCCTGTGCCCATTTTTCTATTGGATTATTTACCTTTATCTTGAATGTCTTCTTTGGTGATTTCTTTCCCCTTTTGTTTTAGCCTCTCCATACTCTAGAACAAGCCTCAGGGTCTCTTCCGACTTCAGTTTTGGTCTTTTCTTTCTTTCCTGTCTTTTTGAGGATCTTTTACTTTGCTCATGTCTAATGGTGGCCTACATGTTTTCCCATAACTCAGCTGGTCTCTAATCGTTAATGTTCTATTCTTGAGATAGTCCCTGAAGGAATTAGTCGTTGTACTCTGATGGGATAATCTTAAGGTTCTATTTTGGCTTTCAGGGACTTGTTTTACTTCTCTTCAGCTTTAATTGAACATAGAAGGAATTAACCGTCTGTTCCACTTGGATAACAGCCCTAAACCCTGCTCTATCCTGTGCCAACATTATTATCTCTGACACACCTACACCCCTTACCCCAGTCACTGAATCAATCTGTTTCACCAAGGGTCATCTTCTCTTGCGCTTTCCCTCCACCTTCCCAAGCATGATGTCTTTCTACAAGGACTGATCCCTCCTTCCAGCATGTCCATAGTATGTCAGATGAAGCTCAGAATCCTTGCCTCCAAGGAGCAGCCTGGTCTCACCCTCTCTAGGATGTCCATATACATGATCATAATGTAGATTTTTTTGAAAAGGTGTTTACACATTTCTGTTATTTGATCAAGGCCATAATTTCAGGTTACAAATCTTTCATCTTTGTTTCTAATTTTTTTATCCTATTCACTAGTAATTATTAATGTATCTTAAATAACTGCATGTTCAGTCAGTTTCAGAGTGCAAGAGTTGCAGAAACCATAATTTTTTTTCATCTTTGGCTTTAGTGGTTGGTGTATAAATTTTACTAATAGTCATAATAGCATCTTTTCCTTCTGTGTGTATGTATCTATATAGTGATTACTACAGAAATATTCAAACAGGGTAAAAGAATGCACACAACAACTAACAAGAAGTAATTGGTTGATTCTCATCCTCTTCTGGTATTACTTACTTTCAGTCAGGATCCATCTAACATCAGCAATGTTATCCCTGGAGCCATGGCCTCCAGAGATACCAGAACAATGTCTATTTATACTTTATTGATAAAGCAAGGGGAACACTCCATAGTTTAAAATTAAGAAGGGAGTGCATCAGGATTGTATTCTCTGTCCATGTCTCTGTGCAGCGCTATCTCCAATATGTATGCTGAGCAAATTATTCAAGAAGCTAGACTTGAGGAAGAAAAATGTGACATCAGGATTGGAGGAAGACTCATCAGTAACCTGCTGTATGCAGGTGAGACAACCTTGCTAGCTGAAAGTGAGGAAGACTTGAAACACTTGTTGCAAAAGATCAAAGTATGGATTGCATCTAAATGTCAAGAAAACAAAAATTATTAGAAATGAACCAATAAGTAACATTGTAGTAGATGAACAAAGATTGAAACTGTCAATAATTCCATCTTACTTGAATCCACATCAACACTTTTGGTACCAGCAGTTAGGAGCTGTATTGCAATGAGCAGATTCAGTACTCTCCAAAGGATTAAGGAGTAATGATGTCAGTTTGAGAAATAAGGTGTGTCTTATTCAGGCATGGTCTTTCCAGTCACTTGCTATCCATCTAAGAGGTGGACAGTGAATAAGGATGACAGAAAAATGGATGCCTTTGAGCTTTGCTGTTGGAGAATAGTGCTGAACTTCCCATGGACTGCCAAAACAAACACATATGTCTTAGAGAAAGTGCAGCCAGAGTGCTACTTGGAGACAAACATGATAAAGCTTCGCCTCACATACTTCGGACATGTTGCTAGGAGAGGCTGTTTCTTGGAGGGGGACATGATGGTTGGAAAAGCGGAGGATCGGTGAAAGAGAGGAAAACCCTCAACCAGGTAGACTGGCACAGTGACTGCCTCAGTGGGTGCTAATATATCATCAGGAAGTGTAAGGATGGCACAGGATAAGACAGGGTTCAGATCTATTGTTCCTAGGGTTGTATGGTTCATATTCGACTCAGTGTTGGCTAACAACCACCACCACTTCAGCAGGAGCATGTTAGTAAGAACCCGTAGACTGAAGGAAGAAGTCTAAGATGCACTGAAGGTACTGAAAAAAGAAATAAAACCCCAGAAATTTATGGAATATCAGTCACGGTGTTTCCACAAACAGGTGCAGCCCTGAATGTACTCTCTAGTCTGTGCCAGGAAATTTGGAAGACCGTTAACTGCCCAACGGACTGGAAGAACTCAGTATTTGTCTTCGTTGCAAAAAAAAAAATCCAACAGAATACAGATATTATCAAGCAGTATCATTAATCACATCTAATTAAAATCTTACTAAAGATTATTAAAAACCAGCTGGAACTGCCAGAAATTCAAAACTACCAGCCTTCAAAAGAAGCTGTGGCATCATTTCTGATATCAGATGGATCTTGACTGAAAGCAGAATACCAGAAAGGTGTTTATTTGTGTTTTAGTGCCTATGCAAAGGCATTTACAGTGTTGTTTTTAAGTGCCATTGAGTCGCCTGCATCTCATAGCAACCCTGTGTACAGTACTTCTGAATT